TAATCATTTTGTAATGACTGTTTCGCTGACCTAAAATTTCTGACTTTCCGCTATTTCTTCTTTTCATTTTCACAAAGCAATCTCTTATTATGACGCTGTAAATTTTATTCATGGCTTTGGCCAAGTATAATAGCTAAGAATTATGATGGGTAAGTGAGAGAGAGATCTTAAAACGTCTCTTGGCGCAAATTTTGTTTTCTTCTACCTGTCTATCGTTCGCTAACAAATAGCACTTCTGTGATATATCATCAACATACGCCATTAAATAAGTATAAAATTAGCGAATCTTTTATGTTTCAATTCATGCATATAACTCAGTCAAAAGACTCGATTAAGAAAATGATATTTCATTACTGTCTATCAATAGCGTTGGTTTAATAGTAAACTGTCTAATTCTCATTGTGCAAAAATGAGAAAAGTAACGGGTTGAAAAATTGTGTGTTAGCAGTGATGAAAAGATCAAAAATTATAATATCGTCTAATCAATCATGGTTGGTGTAACTTTCGCTTTCGCACGATTTTCATTGTGTATTTTCTGTGATTAACTTCTAAACACCCGAATTTCAGTAACCGCACACACAATGCTGTGCATATCCAATTTCAATGCAATATAATTTTGGTGAAAATACATTGTTCTCACTCTTTTTCATTTTATTGTAAATCTATGTTTCACAACAGCGACAGACCAAAATTTTTACTATCAATCACCACAACGATTCCAATCAGCGTTTCCAGCATCGCGAAATGGATTCTTTCCAACCAATGGCCTACCAAATTTTGCGCAAAATTTGCCACAATCATTACCACGTAGTCAATTAGGGGGAGCTATTCAACAGCCCGCACCACAACAACAGCAACAACAACAATTTCAACAGTCGCCGCAACAAGATCAGTCAGCATTTTTCGGAGCCGTACCTACAAAGAATGACGGTTCAACGGCCGACTATTTTCAATACACAGCATTTCCGGTAAGTTTATTGAAAAAAAAAAAACACTTTTATTGCGGGTATACTATATGATTTTTTGGGATGTCGAAACACTTTTGATCTTTAGCAACTTTTCAATTTAAACTTTTTCCATTTGTTTGGCCATTGCCGATGATATCTAACATTTCGAAATTTGTTTGCTCAACATCAAACGAGATTGCACGAAAGATATACCATATCCCATGGATTTGCGGTTAATTATTTGAATTCCATTGGGTCAAGAAATCAATGCGCCTCATTGTTTATATAATAACAAATGAATAAATTGATGCAATACTATAATTAATAATGGATTCATTTACTTGGATTGCACGACGGGATGCTGTGTTCAAAGTAAAAATGCTAATAGTTATACACATACTATATTTTAAATATTTCAGCAACAAACGCCGCGGCAGCAAGAAAATTTCTTCCAAATTTCCCCAAGACCATTTGCAATTCAACCGAATGGAAATCATGGTCTTCAATTTGTTCGACCACCGATAGTTCCACAATCCCAACAGTATACAGCCGATCAAAATAATAATCAATTTCCATTTCCGCAACAATCATTTCCACAACAACAACAATCGCAACAACTGCTACTGTCAAATGATGGCAATTTGGACCAACAACGTCAACCGATTGCACTTCAGGTAACCATCAATGGATTTATTTTCGATTCCAGAGCATTATCAATCATTTGATTTACCATATTTACGCTTTTTTTTTATAGCAACAATCGTTAGCACATCAAAATGGTGGCCGATCGCCAACGATAACTATTTACGATGCGACAAAATTCGTGAAACAAGGGCAAGCCAGTCGTCTACTGAACGATTCAACGGCGAATCGCAATAGTAATAACAATTCAATTAAAAATAGCGTAAGAAAGTCAAACGAATCAATAACTAGTCAAGAAAATAGCAATGAAAACAATCGATTCCCGATTACACGAAATCGTTTTCATCCATTGAGCACAACAAAGCAACCATCAACTAGCCGAATAGCGCAACAAATAACAACACCTACATCGACAACAACAACAACACCGGCCACCGATTTGAATCCGACGATCACATTGGACCAACGTCAAAATCGAATTCCGATTTCCTCACGCTTTGGAACATCACGTGAACAAAATACCAGCGTTCGCATCAATAAATTCCTGCGACAACCGATCTTTACAAGTCGCGAAAATATCCAACAAACGATTAAACGCATTAACATTACACACAATGGAAGTGCAAACCGTGATGGAGGCAGCACAAGCCAAGAGGTATTTTAATTTATGCGAACCGCTTCTTTTTCTTTTCATCTTAATGAATTTTAAAATGTTTTTTAAATGCTTGCGCGTCTATCAACCAGATTTTTTTTTTTTTTTTTTTTTTTTGATTTATGAACCATTATTGGCTTGCGAAGTATGATAAATCAAAAGAAAAACCAAAATAATTTATTGTGAAATGTATATAATTTCTTTGTAACAGGTATCGAATAGAACACATCAATTACAACTTTTGCAACAAGCACGGCAAAAGATTCGTGAATCATCGGGTGAAACGGTGAAGGCACCGCTATTACAGCAAGGAATTATATCAAAACTTCCACAAAAAACAATTATCGAACAACGACCATCGATCGAAGCAAACGAGGATGATGATGAGGAAGAAGAATTTTTCTATGAGGATGACGATGATGAAGAGAATCAGGGACAAGAAGAAATTAGAGCAACGCCAAAACCCAAGGACGAACAGAAACCGGTCATTTTGACATCGAACTTTTTCTTACCCGGCAAACCAATCCCAAAATTGGAACATCACGATTTTGAAACGCAAGAGCCGAATGACTTGTCCAGCGACATCAGTGAAGTGAATGCACAACAAAAAGATAAAGCCGAAGATGTGATCGATTCCGTGCCTGAAGTGGAAACAGAAAAGTTTTTAGAAACAACTACAACAAAAAAACTAGACGAAAAACCAACGAAAACAACAACTACGACACAGGCCAAGCCAGTCATTGAAGATCCAGATGTTGAATATGAATACGAATATGATTATATCGATGAACCAACAACAACGACAACAACAGCAACCACAGAGGCAAAGGTCATACAAAAGCCGACCACAGTTCAAGTGGATCAAACAACGGTCAATATAGCCGACGATAACGATCATAATGGCGATGATGAGGATGATGATGAGCAACAAACGACCATTGAAAGTGATGATGTGCCAGAGATCACCATAAGAACGGAAGAGAAAACATTCAAATCAAATACAAGCAGCGGTAAAGAGACATCATCAGTAAGCGATGCGACAGTGGCCGCCGAAAATACGACATCAATGGAAGGCTACGTTGTTGTGGCTTCAGTTCAGACAAGCCGAAGTATATCTGATGCCCGATACATAACATTCCCTCAAGTCATACAAGAGGAAAGAAGACAGTCACTTAGCGATTTGGGCAAAGATATGAAAAAATTCAACAAAGACGATGATTATAATAACAATAATGAAAGCACATCGGACGATTCAAACAAAGACGATGATGTGATGGCATCGAATGAAGAAAATACGACGACAACCGAAGAAATTGATTCAACGGAAACGTCACAAGAAAGTTTTACACAATCGCAAAATGAATCGGACTCACATCAAGACATTGTAAAGACTCGCGTTCACAAACTTTCGTCAATCAGTGAAAAATTAGCACATTTACATGAGTTAAATGAACCAAAAGCGGAAATAACCACAAAGAGTATTCCCGTTGTGATACGAAAGTTTACACCACGCACAACCAAAGCGCCAACGCGTAAGCCAACATCAACAACGGCACCATCGAAACGAGTGAATGTTGATGATGAGTTGGCAAGTTTGTTACCGCCCGGTTTCAAGTATCGTGCACACAGTTTGAGCGAATCAACAACAAAACCAACAACACCAGCAGAAACCACATCGACCACTGTGAAGAGTGATACGGTAAAGGATGATATTATCGCGAAAAAAATTCAATTTAAGGAAATTTCACTGGAAGATCTATTGCCAAAAGACTATAAACCGCCAAGTGAAAGTAAGCCAAAAGCTCAAAATGGAACAAAGAATGGATCGGACACTTTGGTAAAAATTAAATTTGACGACAATATTGAAGCACTGTTGCCCAAAGATTACAAACCATATTCGACCACACCGTCGTCAGCAACAAAAGCTCCATTCCGTTTGAGCACGGTGACCGAAGATATTGGCAAATTATTACCACCGGGATACAAACAACCAAAAGAAAGTTTCACAACAAAACGACCATTATCGAAAACGACAATGGATGACATCAGCAAATTTCTACCGCCAGGTTTTAAATTGCCAAAATTCACAACAACCGAGAAAACAACAACATCGGCAGACAATAATAGTGGAAGCAGCATTGAAAATGTACTTAATAAATTGTCATTCAATGCAGACATTAGCAGTTTGCTACCGCCTGGATATAAGGCCAATGCTTCGGTCGATGACTTAGCATCAGCCGAAAACAAAGAAGAAACATCATCACCTCAATCTACATCGACATCAACATCACCATCAAATAATAAATTTGGTTTTCTGAAAGGCATTGGAAAACGACCGGGCGTTCGATTAACAACACCAAGACCATCACATGGCGGAGCACCAACGCCACCAAAAGTTACAATTCGCTCTGGATTACCCACAAGGTAAATAATAATAAACTTTTTGCTGATTTATCCGTTTCACATTTGAATTGAATTATTTTAGAGCAACGACCGAGTTTACCGGTTGGCCCACTGTTTCTACAACACCATTGAGCGTTCAAAAGATAATTGAACAGCAAGGCGCACAAGCAATTGATATTTCTGAAATTCTGAAACGAACGTCATCGAGTACATCGACAACGGTCGTTACGACAACTACAACCACGACAACAGTACGACCAACACAACCGGGCACATGTCATGTGCAATGTGATTTAGCGGGAACAATTAAAATTGTTGACGGTGTTAAATGGAAACCCGAACTTCTCGACCATAACACAGTTGAATACAAAAATCTAGCAAAGGAAATCGAAACTCAGGTAAATGCTTATTCTCTCTTCAACATTGTATCGAAGTCGATGTAACTTTTCCAATCCCTTTTTTATCCATTTGCAGTTGAATAATGTATACAGTAAAGCGGATCGTCTTCGAAAATGGTACAAAAAGATTCGTATTGATAGTTTCAGTCAGGGAAGTGTTCTTGTTGATTATTTTGTTGAATTGGCCGATGTATCGCGTGATATAAATACCCAAGAAATTAAACAAATGTTCCATGACGCTCTTACCGAGGTACCAATGACTGTTGTTCCATTGAAAAACAATGCAACCGCATCGTCGAACATGGATATGGAGCAAATCATCGCCGACTTCCCTGACAATACAAAACCAGCCAGAAGCAACTATTTAATGGGCCACTTTATTTTGGATCCACTTTCAACTGATTTTATTGGTACATTGACATGCCATATTTTCTTAATAATCTTGATTTGAATGTGATTTTTAATGTGACGATATTTATCTTTTTTTCCTTTCATTCATCGGACAGTAATTCCAAAACAACGGACCATACCAACAATACCAAATGAAATTGAACAAAACGCAATCATTCCACAATGGGCTATTGCTGTTATCGTAATTGGTGCCGGTTCACTATTATTTGTTGTTATATTCGGTGCTGCTGTGGTATGTTGTGTTAGTTTTTAGTATCGTTATCGTTATCGTTTCAAATGTATTTTTTTTTTTTAAATAGCTAATGAATCGGCAAAAGCGATCAAAAAAGAAGGCACCGGTTCCACTGACAGCCGATATGCTGAATGAGTTAAATAAAAACCATATGGGTGGCTTCGAAAATTATGGCCACGAAGAACTGTACATCGAGGATACCTGGGATGATGTGAAACCAGACTTTAAACCAAAAGTAATATAACCTTGAAATAAATTTATTTAAAAATTTTAGTGGCTTAACGATTTTTAATAATTGTTTTTTCTTATTTTCAGCGTTTTGCAAACTCGAGTAGTGATCGTGACGAACGATTTGATAGTTGGCGTACACAACAAAAGTACCAAGCAAATGCCGACTATTATTATGATCAGAAATTGACGAAACCACATTATTCCCAAAAAACGTATGCATATCCACCACAAACTGATCCATATATGGAAAATTATCATCCGCACTATCACCCATCCTATGCAAGCCACCATCATCCATCACACCAAAATGCGATGGGACTATATACCTACAATACACGACGATATAATCGAGATTATGATCCAGATTTCTGATCATTTCAAACCCAATTTTCGATAATTCTTTTTTTTAAACAAAAAAAAAACAAAAATAGTGTAATTATATTTATTTAACGAGTGAATATTGATGCGTGCATGGGCGTGACTGAGAGTTATATGTGAGATCAACCAATTTGATATTTACATTTCGAAAATTTCGTCAAACACTTAAGCAATTCAGAGAAGATGGAGAAGAAAAAAAAATGATGCAACGAAATTACAGGAATTTTATGTTAAACTAACCGGAAAATATTATATTAGGAACAATAAAGAAATGTAATTTTTTTACAAACGAAATTGAACTTTTCATTGTGATAAAAGGATTTCTCGATTCTTGGGCCGAACCCCTTTCGATAAATTGCAGGTAATTTCAATAAAAAGAAGAAGGATTCTATCACATCATACACGCTTCTTGAAATTTTGAATTGGAGACAACGTAGCTCTGAATGTGGCGCTAATTTGATTGTTTCTTCTCCGGAATTATAATGATTTAATTGCGCTATATCGAGGGCCATTGCAATGAGTCTTGTGCTACAACAAAACTCGGCCCATCATAAGCAGAGTCAGCTATATTCGGGATATCTACATCATTTCCGCAGCTTTCGAAAAGAAATTCATATTCGGTGCATCATCTTAAAACTAATACTCTAGTATCATTTCAATAGTATGTATTCTTCTCGAACTTTTTGAAATATGGTAAAATATCAGTGAATAGATTGGGCTACAGCTATAGCAGTGCTATTTTCACAGCTCCTATTCATAGGTGCTATTTGTGAACAACGCATACGGGCAGCGATTTTATGATACAATTCCGGACAATAGACCTATTGATTTGTTTATGCAAAAAAAAATGTAAAATACTAAAATCAATTGTTCTATTTAAATTTTGAACATTTCGTTTCGAATTGTATCATAAAATCGCTGTCCGTATACATTGTTCACAAATAGCACCTATGAATAGGAGCTGTGAAAATAGCACTGCTATAGCTGTAGCCCAATCGTTTCACTGTAAAATATCTCAAAACCCCTTCCAGGGCAATGGTGTAGTGATTTGGAGCGTATTCTCTTAAAAAAAAAACTTTGAAAAACAGAATATTTTCTTTATTTATTCGTTAACACAATCACATCTGTTAATACGTAATTAAAAAACGGCTTTTTAAGTGTAATTTTCATTTTTTATTCGATTTACAAAAATTTGGATGTTGAAATATTCCACATATTACAAAGATAAATTGGCATTTATTTTTTTTGCCTTGCTTTGATATAATAAATAAAGTAATATCAATGACAAGATGTCCGAGAAGTTTTTTTTTAGATGGAGACTAATTTAAATCAATTTAATGATTGCAAAGAAATTTTGAGTAACATGAACAATTTTATTCTTGACTTACTTCTTTCTCTTTTTTTCATTGAAAAGTTTTGGGATCTATTTTGCTTATCTCATCTATATGTATATTTTGTTTTTTATTGCAAATTATAAATTGATCAAATCTTGTAAATCAATTCAAAATCGATTGTATTGAGGCAACTCCATTCTCCCATCTTATCATAATCAAAACCATTCTCGGGTTATTCGAAATGCTCGATCCTATTGGAAATTAAGTGTAACGTGGGTTGAATGTTATCCGCTTCCAAATGGGGATATAAAAGAAAGTGGGGGAACAAAACATGGCATTCCTCATAAATTAATTGACTAATGTTGTTGGTATTTTTTTTAAAACAATTTTTTTCTCGCTTAGTTCAGATAAGAACACAAAAAAAAAATGCTAAGAATTTGAGCATAATTTTAAAAAGCAAAACAATTCATATAAATTATTCATTTTTCTTATCGTTATGAGTTTTAACATTTTCACTAGGTTTGCTGTCTTTATCTTCATTGGGTTCGTTCATTGGTTCTGGAGCTGGTGTTGCTGTTGGTTCAGGTATTGTTTCAATTGGTTCGATTGTTTCTTTGCGTTTTCGAAGCTCACTCGTCACTGCATCGGATTCAGAGCCTGTGTATGGAAGAAGAATGTTTTAATCAATTGAATAAATTGCAAAAGCAAAAAAAGCTATGTGTACCCGAATCCTTGTCTGTAACCGGCGCCGAAGAGCTCGGTTGCTGTGATTGACTTGGCAGAGGCTTATTACTAGTCTCGCCAGTACTTCTCTCTGGTAAATTCAATCGTGGTGCAATTGGTCGAATTTTCTTTGCCGGATTCAAAGCCTTACAAAAGGCACACTTGAATGCTGAATATTCATATTCCTCCTGCGATACCATGCCTATTGTTTTCAATGAAAATTTTTGTTTTATTGATTTAGCAATTGTATTTCTGTAATTACAATGTGATAAGTAACATACCATTGTGGCCATAACATTCTTTACAAATCATGCCATATCGACTGCTTGGTCCATCGTTTATTAAATAATCAACAATTTTCTCAAACATTCCTTTTTGGTTTTGGTTGATAATCGGAAATGGTGTGCCATAGTGTTGTCTCGCTAAAAAATAATAAAGAATAAAACCGCATTTTATATAAAATTGAATATCGGAAAGTTCGACTTGGCGTCAGCGTAGATAATTCAAATGATTATGGTGGTACAATTCCATTTTACATGTCATTATCCAAAAAGAACCGAATCATAAATGTTAATTGAGTTGTACATACCAACAACGGGCGTGGGTACGGGTGAGTTAATTCTGTATTGGCCAAACGATGGCGTTTGCAGTGCGTTCAGTGCCGATTGCGGCATACTTCGTACATTGATTGGTGTACGAGCTGTTGGCATTATTGGTTGTCTTGGTTGTGTTTGTGGCGTTATTCCAACCTTATTTGGTTGTTGTTTCTGTGGCGTACTTAAATTCGATCCGATTAAACTTTGATTTGGTGATGCTGAAAATGGAGCGAGAGATAAAAAAGAGAAATTACACAATTGCTTTGACTCCGATGATCTTTATAGACGTACGACTAGCAACAGGTTGATGTTGTGCTCGCGTTGCTGTGTCTCCAAAACGATTCAATATTTCACAGGCAACCTTATAGGTTTCCTTGTCCATGACCTGTTCAATGATCTTCTTCTTATCGGCACGCAACTGTTTTAATTGATTTGCATTGCGATTGATCTTTCGCTGGAAATACCATGCAACCAATCGTTTTAACAAGATGATTCTAAAAATTGAAAAGCAAATCGAGATTACATGAAAATATGAAACACAGAATTAGAAATCTAGAGCTAGGAATCCTGGGATATACTCACAGAATGGGAAATATAAGTAACGGGGTTGAATATATAATTCGCTTTGACCATGTTGATGGGAAAAATGCAAAATAAAATACAATCGACGCAATGACATATAAACCAACTGAAAACACAAGAAAATTGCCCACAAAACGTTTCTGTCGCGCTTGTGTACTGATTGAGAAACTTTCAATGTCTTTGATCTTTGTCTCTAGCTCCTCTAGTACTTCAATTGTGGTTTTTTCTTTCTGCAAAATAAGAAAAAAAAATTAAGAGAGAGAAAAAAAAATACGCAACACGTAAAATACATGTTCACTTTCTATCGTGTGTTAAAAAGAAAACCGAGCACCGAAATCATGTACACACACTCACACGCCGTGTACAGAGAAAAATGGATTAAAACAAAGTATTTTATCATTCGATTTATTTTCCATTGATTGAGTTTTAATATAACAGCGTCTTCGTATGTTCAGCTTCATAATAATTACAATGAAAGAAAAATAACATAAAAATTGTCTGCTCTTATTAAAAACGAGCCCGCTAAAACTGACACGAAAAGCATGAAAACATAAAAATCAGCTACGATATTGCAAAAGACACGAAAAATAAAACCGTTTTATATAATTTGAGCAACGACTGTGAAATTTGCGGAGAACGCATCGAATTGAAAGAAGAAGAAAAAAGAAACACTGAATCGCTCACGACTTAATCAAAAAAGAAAAAAAGAAATAAATTACTTACTCGAAATTTCGCTAATATGATTCCCATTTTGTTAGATGAAAAATGATGTGTGTGTGTGTGCCAATAATTTCAACGGTTGTGTCCCCGACTTTCACCTACAGTCGATACGATGACCTTTTACGGGTGCCGCTGAGATGTCAAACAATGTTCAATAGTGATGATTTAAGACGCGTCGCTACTTTAGATTCTTGTTTATACATTTGATTCGTAAAATAATCACACGAAATGCGTCGTCAACTACCCTCCAATTGAAATAAAACCGAAATGAAAAATAAAAATTATTTATTTTTCCCGTCAAGACGGCGAATTATCAAATTAAATGGAAATGGTAATGTAAACATTGAATGAAATGCACACGAAAGTTTGTTGTGCGACGCACGAAAAGTGATTGTTATCGCTGTTCATACACTCTGATCATTGGTTATATTTATAAAGAATTTTTTTTTGAAGCGTATTCATTTTGTGGTTTTACTGATTTTAGTTTTTGGCAATTCAATTTTCATATTCGCTTTGCTACTGGTAAAAATATCTTTATATATTGAACATTATATGTATTTGTATTTTCAACTTGAGATCAGTTCGTGTATGAACCGCAAATATAAATATAGAATGTCAGCGAAGCAGCAAAGAACAGTTTTGCATAATTACATGATCTCATGTCTCTCTATTCTGACTCTGACTAAATGATATTCATTGAGTTGAATAACTGACGTTGACACTCTCGCGTGCGCGCGCGTCACACTCATAGTTATCAGGTTAACATTTATTTTGGATGAAATTTAGTTGCATTAAATTTCACAAAAAAAAACAAACAAACAAAAAAGAATGCACATATTCATTGAGCCGAAAAAGAGAACTACCGCTACGCATTTACCGACAATGTCAAACGTTCAAACAAACGAAAATAAAGAGGAGAAAAACACAAAAACCATTGCGTTCACTGTTTAACATATTCGAATTTCATTTTGTATGTAAATTGTTGACGTATCAATGTCAATTGGCTCCCTATTTCTGGGATCATTTACTATAAAGTACATATGAAAAATACCGATGCAAATAGCGCGCACAAACACTCACACTTAGAGAGAGAGAGAGAGAGAGATCAAACATTATCTTTGGAAACGGTTGAATGAATATTTTTCATTTCATTCGGCTCAATCACTTTTCATATTATAATTATTGAGGTACGTTCGCATTAGTTTTTTGCCAATGAATACCTAATGAGTTCGCTGACATTAGCGAAACGAATGGATATGCTTCGAATTGTCATAGATTATAACAACTGGTCTACCTTAAATAAACACAAAGTGCTTTGAGTAAACCACACCATTTACTCCAACTGACGTTCTATGAACCTTAATGCCCTTTCAATATAGAAAAACTCCTTTTTTACGGACAATTAAGATATAAATTTAATGAGAAAAAGGAAAAGAATCGTTCATAAATGATTTGCAGCCAAGTTTTGCACTGTAATCTCTCAAAATGTATGCAAATTGCATGACATTTCAAATATTAAAATGAGATAAACTACGTGGAATGTAAAAAATATGGTTTTTATTTTCGTTTGAATGTCTAAAATTGGCCGGTTGTGTTTAGCAAAAAGATGGATTAACTTTGCACAAATTGAAAACTAAACCATTTGTACACTCACATTCACTGTGATATGCGACTATTTGATTTATTGTGTGTTTTTTTATTTCGATTTCGTTGAATCACCAATCAATTGAGTGTTTGAATCACTTGAAAGTGCGGTGTTGTTTTTTTATATTTTTCTATCCGTTTTTCAGGTGTTAAATTCACCTCAAAACAACAATCAAAATCGTTTTTTTTAGATGAAATTGATAATTGTGGGCGATAGTTTTACCGTTGTTTGTTACCTTTTATCCGACTCGTTTTGATGTTGTTTTCGTTTTTTCGGTTCCTCTATAACTTGATGCACTGACGTTTACACATTCACTTTCGTTTGGCAATATTTTTGTTTGCACCCGATTGACGTTATAAGTACACGATAGTGGATGAGTTGTTTTAAAATGATTGAAATTTTAACATGAAATCATTTTATTGTGTTTGTATGCGTTCATAATGTCAATTTTAAATCGTATAATCACTTCAGTTTCTATTTGGCGTATAAACGAATGTTTGGATTTATACTATAGCCATAACCTCATTCTCATATACCAGTCTAATGTGAACGGTCTTTTAATTGTACAACATCAACACCATTTGACATAAACAAATTGTGCACATAACCTCAATATTTTGTATGAACACCAAAAACGGTTATTCATTTTAGCCTTTCTAAACTAAAATGAATGAATATGAATTTTTATCGACCGAGCTCAACAAGTTAAATTAGAAAAATGGTAGGTTAACCTTATTGAATAAATAAATCGAGCACTGAACATTTTTATTATCTTTATGAATGTTTTTCATTTAAATTGTTTCACTTTTTTATGTTCGTCCATCGGTCAGTGAAATAATAGGCATAATTTACCATCTGGACGAGTTATATTTGTATGATTTTTGCAATACAACTATTAACTGATTACAATTCTTAGTGACATGGACTAAAGATGCGCGACCGACGAAATTGTGCTGCCACTAAATTAAAGAAAATGCATAAATATCAACAAATCTAATGTAGAAAAAATGCAATCGATTTAAAATGTAACCGAAAAATGTATCTTTATTTTTGAATAATTTAGAACAAATACAATGAGATAGTTATCGTCAGAATCCCCAACAATGTGAATGATTTGAGATTGCGATTGGCGTGACCGTTTACTGATTTAAATAGAGCAACATCTTCGATATTGGTATTCCAGCCAATGTAATCATTACGGTTTTGTTGTTCAAGCCACGCTTTCAGTGGATTAAAAAATTGAACTAATGGTTCGGCTGAAATTCGATTCGATTTTCCCCTCGTCAATATCTTCAACAACTGTGTTGGTGACAAAGACGCCCCGTGCTGCATTACATCGCTGATGAACAAAATAAACAACAACAACAACAACAAAAATTACGATTCAAGACATTTTTTGATCTAGTTTGGTTTGTTACCTTAAAATACGTCCAGCTTCTCTGGATCGATAGAAATCGCATGTATGCAACGGTCCCGAATGATTTATTGTCTCGCATAGTTCGGCATAAATTTGAAATTGTAAGATTGTTCCCAAAAAGTATTTGATATAATCCTGATCGGCGATGATATGATATTTAGAGCCAGCATCGAAATCGTCAGTATGACGTGGATTTGGTGGAACAATGCCCTGATATCGTAACCGATGCTCCCACCATCTTGAATTCATGGCCACTGGTCCTTTTTCGAAGACAAGCCATCGCCACTTTTCCACAGCTAAGCTGAATGCCAAAAATGGTAGCTTTTCCAGTGCCAAACCCAGCAAGTACTCGATATTTATAACTGAATTTCCATTTGCCGTTTGAATTGGCGTTGAAAGCAATTTAATGCGTTGCAAATGCACTGGCCCACCGACACATAAGCCAATTGCATGAGCTGTATCATTAAATAAATATACATCTTTTATTATTTGTACGAAATGAAAGTAAAATAGGTTAAATGCATACCAATTGCTTCATGGAATGATGGATTTGGACCATCACGATATACAAACGGTTGATTTGCGTACATCATGTAGTATTGTACGTGTGAAATTTGGTAATGTGCATTTAGAAAATCATCCAGTGTAATTTGTGTGCATTGTGTAACACGAAAATCGAAATTGTTACAAAAATCCCAAGCTGAAGCCATACACTTGCCCGATTCATTACCCTGTAAAATTGAATTGCGCCAAAATTCGGGTGACATTGGTGTCATTCCAAGAGAAGAAAAGAACTCATCGGCTTTGCGAAAAATATGTGTTGGTGTATAGCCTGAAATGACGAAGGGAAAAATTAGCGTTTTTTTTCTACTTTTTCATCCATTTTATAGACATCAAAATTAAAATGTTCACGAACCTTGTCGCACCATTTCGGCGGATACGTCGGGCGTTTCTGAATATCGATGTTTCGCAATGTCCATGATATTTTTCCAGTTTTGTTGCCTAAATTTGTGGAAAATGAAGCAAAATATTGTGAATTGAAAAGGAAACGGCAGAGCAGTTATAGAATCCGTGGGGAACTTTTAGAGGGTACTGCTTTTTCTTCTTCTTCAAGTGCAAAACTTGAAAAATTATATGAAAAAAGTGCATTCACAAGTGCCCTCACATCTCCAGTGCCAATAACAGCTCTGAGAAATGAATTTTAAATGTTGTGTTGATTGAGAACGGTGCAGTAATGAGGATAAGAATGCATTCTCATAAATTACCACATATTTCCAAGCAAATGAGCGGGTATTGGTCCATCAGGCCGTAATATTTTATTTCCATATTGTCGAATCAGTCCCTTTCGCACGAATGTGAACAATTGCCGATACAATGGTGCAATTTCTGTCCATAGATCTTGTACGCTGAAATAAAGTTCGGGATCTTCATAAAGTGCGCGCATTTGTTCGCCGGCATCAGAAAATCCATGTGCAATGGCCGCTTGATTAGCCAAATCAATGTAACGCATAAAATTGTTGCGATTCGGTGGTCCAGTTTTTTCATGCCACGCCGACCAAATGTACTTCAATTCAGCTTCATTTCGGCTATGTTCCATAACATGCGGAATATCAGTATCAATGCTGAGATCACAGTAGCCAGTATACGTGTGTGTTACATAGTTTTCAAATTGTGTTGATTGAATCGATTCATTTGCATGTTTAATTGGTATTACACCAATATTTTCGTCCATTTGTGTATTTTGATTAACAAATTCACTTTGGGTGCCACGGTACGGGCAAATTCGGGCATGTTTATAATTGTCCGTCATTTGTTGAATTAAATTGTTAATTTCGGCATATTTGTCATCGGTAAGACCACATTTTCCCTGTTTTATGATGCGTTGCAATTGTCGTTTGTCATTCGTATTTGTGATCGGATAGTTTAAAAATGAAATTGCACGTCTCCAGCTCAAGCATTCGAATTTTGTTGCAACCGATTGTTGCTCTTTCACACGTCGTCTATTATATTCGCTAGCATTTGTCGCATATTTCCATTCACTGTTCACCACTCGGTTGCACATTTCAGCTGCTTCATGGTTAAATTCCTTCAGAAAATTTACCACATCATCGATATTCTCAGTCGCACTTTGCGTTGGATTGTACTGTGATTGTATCTGCAATTGAATTAAATTGAGTTTGGTTTTTAATTTTGATCACAGAATGTTGAACATTTTTTCAACCGTTTAATCGTTCAAATGCGATCGCTGAATAATAAGATGATAAACTCAAGCGGAAATTAAGCAATCGAAAATACAATTGATTCAATTCAATGACGGTGAATTTTTTGTGGTTTGATGAAAGATTTTCAGTGTGTGGAAAAGGGAGAACGAGAGCAAGAGATCTTCGATGGAATCGAAACGATTCAATGATATATGTGATTCATCATAATAAGCATCTGCTTTACGCATCTTTGCGAGCCCAATTTGTCTCAAGAGTTTCTGTTACCGTTGTCGAAATTGGTCGCATGGATTGGAAACCAAAAATATGGAAAATTTTATTTCAAAATGCAGCATACGGAACAACAAAAACAACGACAATGTCGTCAAATCATTTACATCAGCTGAAATTGAACTTCTCCTACACCATGAAAATGCATCCATGTGGAACTGTTTTCTTTTCTTCATTTCGGTTGATGTTCCGAATTTATTTGGTTTGTGTTTTTTTTTACTCTCTCTGTGCAACTATGCCATTGTGAATGTGAGTAGTTTTTTTTCTCATTCGAAATAATGAAAGAGACCATCCCATCGTTATTTTTATGTCGCGAAAAAAAACCTATCATCAAATCAATTCACATTCGACAAAAGACACATTGTATACATCTATGAATTTTGCGTTTGAAAACTTTCAATTCAATACAAATCTATCTAGCTAACTGTTGATTTGCTTCAAATCGAATCACGAATAATGATCACTTTACTCGACATCTCATTCAAATTTCTCTCTCTCGCTCTCTCTCTCTCTCTCGTTCTCCTTTTTCCACACACAAAAACCGAAAATCTTTCATCAAACCACAAAAATGTATCCACACAGTACACAAATGAAAAATTCCAGCTAATCTCAGCATTCGAATTTGTAAAGTTGAATGAAATTTATTATTACAAATTTTGATCAAAGTTAATGAATCAGTATGAACTAACTAGAATTCCAATTAAGATTTGGATCGTGAACTTTTTCTTCAACTTCGTAAATAAAATCATAACGGAAATCCATTTGAATCGTTTATAACTGTCTCTTTCCATTGTTTTTTGAAATGACGTTTTGTTTCTGACAATTTTCAAAAAAGAAGAAGATTATCACAATGATGCAATTAACGATTTATGAACTCTTCAAAATTTAAAGTTCTCCAACCACTTAATTTTTAATATGTAAATAAAACCGAAAATATTTGTTGAACAAACCTGATACTTGTCATTCGAATCAAATCCATAGGGTAAACCATCTTGGGTTTGTGCACAATTAACAAGAACTATTACAATAATACTTATAAATATGACACTGTTCATGTTTTCTTTTCTTTTTTTTTTAGAGATTGAGAAAAATAAATCTTTGTACTAATTTGTTTGAAAATCACTGGGTTCTATTTACAATAATGGATATCTATGATATTTTGGGAGCGAATAGTTTTGGTTATTTTGTGGGTTATTTCTCCACACTGGTGGAATCACATATTTCAAAATCCGTATTTTGTAGCTTGTGTTGGCCTGCCAAACCAAAATTCGGCGCAGAACTAATCTTTGGTGCTAGTATATTTCATTTGAAAGGGGCAAATTTTCACTTTCTTTTCACATGAGCGCGTGCGCACGGGCCACGCACAACCGCATCGAAAGTTCAACAATGTTGAATACAAAAGAAACTTGACTTAAAGCGATGAAAAACCGTCCAAAATTTAATTTGTTCGATGCTGAATGGTTGCGTTGTGCGTATATGTTTTGGGTGTCTGAACTTTCTATTGCGAATTTCAATATGTACACGATGTCAATCTTTGTCTAGTTCACAAAATATTGTGAGTGTTGTTAATTAGATTATATTGCGTTGATTTTTCGGTTTGAGTAGATAAATTTCGTGGTTGTTTTTTTTTGCCGCACTCTGATGAACGAAGTGTTTCTTTTTTTAACGATCGAATTTGATGCATATGCTCAATTTATTATTTGCTGTTTTTGTTAAATAGTTATTTTATTTGTTTCGTTGCTTTTTTCTCATATGAGAAAATTTATTGCGTAAAATAGATGAAGTAAAATTAAAAATCGTTTGGTCATTGATTTGTTTGGTATTGTTTAAAATGCGACGCAAACGATGTGAGTGAAAAATGTACGTGTGTTTTTTTTTTGGTGTGATGTCGGTTGCGCTAAAAAGATTCACTCTGAATTCGTATACATCGATCTGTAGACTGAAAGAAAAATGATTTGATGATTCAAATTTGGCCCCTTGAGCTCCATTCAATTATTTTTTTTTAACGTACACCGAGCGCGTTTTCGTTTTTCATTTATTATTGTTGTCTCTTTTTCTTGAATTTGCTTTCGGGTTCTCTTAAATAGAGCTTCGCATATATTTTTTCAATCTGTATGCCGTTACCAATGACTACTGTGCATTGTCTATTGTATGTAACTTCACCTAGAGCAGTCGAGGAGATAGAAAGAGATAGCAAAGCTCTTGATCGTGAGCGCTCGTCATACCGACGACTGGAAGACACTCTTATTATATTATTATTGCTTCATTTTACATTTAGACATTTTTTTTGTGGGTGTTCAAGCACCGCATCGAAGACAATATGGAAAATTTGCTTCTGTTTGATGCCGATGTGTGTATTGTTTAAGCGTATGTGTGTGCTTTTTGCGCACGTAACTGAATGAACTGCGCCAGGGAGATAGACTTCAAGAAACATGCCGAGATCAAGAACAATCAAAGCGTGCAAACAGATTCACTGTATCTCATGTCTTGATGTGCATGTTCTGTGTGTTGTTTTTTTTTATTCGTTGTGTTTGCTATGAGCGATTCCTTTCGACCATTACAATGTTTAATAGACATATCCACGTTCATATGAATTATTAACTGTTTTTCTCTAATGCGATGACGATGCGCACGATAATTGCTGAATCAAAATCGAAATGATTTTTACGATAATCGTTTGTCGGTGGCAATGCACAGATTTTTTTGTTTGATTGTTCGTTTTGGAGACAGTAACCAGAGAATGGAAATCGAAGATTTTACATTTACATCAAAATCGCACGAAAATCCAAGACCATTTTGTGGTGCGCCGTCGTAATCCCAATGAAATCGAAAATTGTCGACATAATTATTGAATGGGCTGTATTTCGAGAGGTGCGGCAATTTTATGTTGAAATTTTGAAACAAATCAATAAAAAAGTATCAAACTGTTGGAAACAAATCTATCTTATTATTATTTGGGCGACCCAATTTTTTTTTTCTTCAACTTTTTGTTTCAGCAATTATAATTTTTGCACTCACAGAATTGAAACCATAAAAAATAGATCATTTCTTACTCTTTTTTCTATTCTATACATTCTCATGTCGCGGTTTACGTCATTACGCACTGTGTGAGCCAAAAAAAAAAACGACGCAATTAACTCGACATTACATTTTTTTCATTGCCTAACATTGACTCAATCTCGAATAATTAAACACCACAGATGCAAATCGCCGCTTAAATTTTAATTACTTTAAAGTAAACAAAGAATAAAACAAACATCTCATTCTTTAAGCCATTTTAAAGTGCCGTTTAATCACATGCTTCAAACGAAGATCTTCTTGTTTCCTTTTCTTCACACGCACAATGACAAAAAAGACATTGTAAAACAATCAGAATTGAACAAGTAAAGGGCAAGTATAAAATGACTTTGACTAACCTGTGTAGGTTTTTGTAGAATTTGAACGACATTGAAAGACTCGCCTCTTTGGAATTTTGCACAGAATTTAAAAATTATTTAAGTAAATCGATCTGGCCAAACCCTTTAATTAAAATAAAACATAGTCGTCATCTCGATTTTATTCATTCTCTTACATCCTTCCATTGTCTCACGTTTGAAATGTGATGGAAAAGAAAATGACGTTTGGACGCAAAATTTCGATAAATTGACCCAGTTGAAAACGAAGTAAATTACAATCATAGAGTATATATTTTTGAAATAGCCATATGAGAGATTTCATAACGAGCGGATGAAAAATGTGCAAAAACTGACTTTCAGTCAAATTAATATCACATGTTGAAATCAATCATTATGAGCAGCTATCAAATTAAATGTGTACACAACGATGGGGTCTAATATTGTGCTGTGTAAACCGATGACGTTTTCTTTTAATTCGGGCGACAAGAGAGGAGAGAGGCACATAATGCAACATAAAATCGCAAATTATTCACACGAAAAACATTGCAATACACACACACACACACACACAAAATGTCTATGGGAATAAATTGGGAACAAGGAACGATAAATTAAATGATTAGTAAATTGCCTGTCCATTTGCATGACATAAGCCATTAAAATCATTCATTCCTCCGGTCGTTAGCGCGGTGCTATTCTTACCAACAGCCAACAACAAAATAAAAACAACAACGATGTTATTCGATGACAACCGATTTTCTATGCATTTTTCTGAATTTGATTTTTGGTTGGAACGAGTTGGAGTCAGTAAATTAATTCAGGTAAATGTCAAATAAGACATTCCTTTTCATGCCAAAATAAATCTTAAAATTGTCTTGTGGAGTATTCAAACTGTGAAATTGATATCCATTTGAATAATTTTTCAAATGTTATGTGCTTCAAACATTCCGTTGTCTTACCGCAGAAAATTAAACCCACTTAATTTTTGGTTAATGGACGAGAGTGAGAAAAATTGTACTATTACCAATTGAAAACGAAATCGAAATTGAAACATATAAATCACAGTAATGGGCAGCGATGCCCCGAACCATGTATGGTTTTTTTTTTTTGGGGAAGACATAGTCGCATGCATTTCATTCGATAAACGGCAATCGCTTAATGCAATGTTTATGAACTCATTAATTATCGACTTGGTTATAGGTACTGTTGCATATCAATTTATGAAAATTAATGTCGACAAGAAGAAATGTAAACCGCACTACAACGCTCACACACACACACATGGTGAACGTAATGACCGAGTAATTATTGAAAAAGATTTGCTATATAGAAAAATCGATCGAACAATACAAACCGCAATGAGACAGAAAAATAATGAAAAAAATCCAAACGCGAAACATACATTATTGAAAGTTTGGAATTTATTACTGGAATCAATATTCTTTTTGTTGGCAGCCTACATTACCTTTCCAAGTTAAAAAACGAAAAGAGAAAAAGAGCAAAGCAACAACAGCAACAGTACCGCAATATATGATTTTAACACATGAACAGAGCGATTTGGTAACTCACATATTTAAGCGAAGAGAAAATTGCACTGTTCTTAAGCTACAAAAAGAAAAATAGCGGCAACAAATGTGAAATATTATGCACCGATCGCACACACCGTATACATTTATTTGCAATGTGCTGCTTATCAGCACCACAGATGCCATAGCATTACCATTATATATATATTTTTTTTTCTTTGTGGCTTGACTTTTATCTAACACACGTTTCACTTCATATTTCTTTTCTCAGTGCGGTGCGATTTTGCTTATGTGCACATTTTTGCCATCATTTGTTTTCCTTAATAAAAACTGATGCAATCAAAGCCCACAGTAATTACATGAACATTTGAAATTATGTGTACGGTTTTTTTTTTTATGTTACATTATTTTCCTGTAGCATTTCCATTTATACACCGCGAGATTTTAATTCAATTGATTCATAATATTTCAAATAGATAAGTACATTTTAGGAAATATCTCATCTTTTTTTCAGCAGAAATCTGTCAAAAAAAAAATATTTTTTTTTCTTACTTTATTTGATGAAACCGTTTTGATGGCATTTCGTTTTAATTGTTAAATGCTGAAAAATGAAGAAATTGTAGAGAAAAAAAATCGAATATTTTTTTTTGTTTGTTTCAATTTTATTCTAAGCTCAAAAATTGTTCTAATCTATGCTTTTTTTTCATTATCTAAATAATAATCAAAGTTTACAAGAGAATCAAGTGAAATGACGTGTGTTGTTTTTGTTTATTTTGAAAATAAATTTGCTTCTATTTTGTTGCTTAAAAATCTATTGAGCATTTGATATCGTTTTATTTTTGTGTGTATGTGTGTTAGTTACAGTGACGTAGAGACAGTTTAAGTTGTGGCAGGCAAAAAAAGTAATAATCTTGTAACATAAAGTGAAGTAAAGTGAAAATAGATCGGATGTTTTGTAATATGTTCACTTTGCTAAGAGTGACGAGAGAAAGGGAAAAGAGAATTGTGGATATTTATTTGTTATCAAATCAAGAGATGGATAGAAAACATTTTATGAGAAAATGTGCATTTCCATCAAATTCGAAAATATGTTTATATAGAACACAGTTTTATGATGATTTCCAGTTGTTGTTGTTTTTATCGCTTGCAAACATTTTTTTTTTCTTTTCGTCCAAATCACTTTTGATTGTCTTAATTTTAAAAATTGAGCGTAGAGTATTCCTTGAGTATTTTCGTTTATGTCGAAACATTGTATGTGTGTGTGTCGCACTTTTAGTTTTGCTTAGCTTCAATGAAATCTCCATTTAGCTGATTATCTAAGTTAAAGTCGTCGTCGAAAAAAATTGGTAGGCATTTGAGATTTGGCACTTTTGAAATGAAAGCTTTTTTTCTCGACTACTACTGATGAAACACATATTAAATTAGAATAGAAATTGAATAGAATAGAAAGATAGAATGTTAGTAACAAGACACAGATAGAAATGCGAAATATTGAAGGAAATAGAAAGTTGTGAAATCAACAGCAAAGCAAGTAGTAACTATTTTTGAACATAGATATGTTCAGATCCTGAACTATAACTTAGTTACAGTATGGATAGTTTGGACAAGCAGCAGGATTGACACCTGAAAAGAAATATTACATTATAGACAGATTCAATTGCAATGGATAAAGAAATTATTTTGTACCAGCTGGATATTGCCGTGAAACGTATCCTGGCAATGGAGCAGCAGCATATGCACCAGGGTAAACACCGGCACCGGTGTCACAGTATGGATAATTTGGGCAGGCCGATGGATTAACGCCGGCTGGGTATCTGTACATGAAATTGCAAAAAAAAAATGCAAGCAACAGCGTTAAATTATCATCGAGTATATAAATCCAAAATGACTCACTTGTCACCGCCTGGTCCTTGGATGTCATTTGTTGAGTAATCGTTCAAAGCTGGAGCGTCCCATTGGTTATATGCTGGTGCAGATTGATAGGCGTAACTTTGTGCACCATGATTCCATGCGGGGGCTGAGTAGGCAGCCGGAACTGGTGCCTGTCCGTGCAACAACGAATTGTCACAGATTGGAAATCCTTTCAAAACAAAATTCAAATCGAAATTATTTTATGAAAAAAATGAACGCAATTTTTTTTGTTCGAATTTCATTTAATTCGAAATTGTCCATCAAATGATATATGTTTTTCAATAACCACCAAATTTTGCATTTTTCGTTTGAAAAACTTGCGCACGCAATGAAATCAAAACATATAATGTATAAAAGAAATTTTTTTGCGAAATGTGATTTCATTTAAAATGATTTTGTACCTGGACATAATGCTGGATTAACGCCAGCTGGATAACGGGCCGCTGGAAGTTGTGGAGCTGAGTGAACAGCGGCAATAAGCACAAAGAAGCAAATCTACAACAGAAAAACAATCGTTAAATATGATCGGTATCCGAAGTGAAGGCGAATTGATCGAGCGAGCAATATTTTGGCACACGCATTTTTAGTAATCACTTGATTTTGCAATTTAAATTTTTCACACAATTTCAACATTCGATTAAATCGAAATGGAATTAATTTGTTTTTCTTTTTTTTTTATTCATGTGACTGATTGTTATAATTATTGTGATCGTTGTCGTTGGTTCTTACCACTTTTGAATTCATATTGGACTATTATGTGTATATCTATTTTGTTTTAAGAGAGCAAAAACAAAAAACTATATATCACGGTATTAAAATAAATGTAAAAATTGTTTTAAATGAAGCGTGCTACACACAAAACTTCCAATATTTTGCCGATTCGGAATGAATTGTTATACTGATTCAATTGAACTGAATTTGGCGGTTTAAATACAAAATACCGCGCCTTTTGCCATGCACGCATACAATCGCATACTTACTCCCATACCCCAGCGCACATTGTCACTGTGTCTCGTGTGTACACATATGTTTTACGTGGTGTTTTTTTGCATCGTTTCCACGATATGCGGTTCAATATGTTTTTTTTTTTCTTCTTGCTTTCAACTGCTTTCCCTTTCTTTCGTCGTTTATACTACATTTGCCAGTCTTTCCAGCGCGTTTATTGCAGGCTCTCAATTTAACGCTTTTCTGTAATTTATGCTACATTATTATTAGCTTATTGGTGTAGCACAATAAACAGTTGCTTCAGCAGAAAAATGGTACGATTCTAATCTGGTCAGTACATTTTGATCAAATTACAAATCTCAAAATCATATCAACATTTTTTTTAAATTTCATTCAACGAAAGGCACATCTTATTGCTGATGCAATGGAACACTCTTTCTCAAGAACTTAAATCATTCATCGTTTTTTTATGCATTCCAAAATCCAAATTACCCAGAGATTACGTTGTTGCTTTTTCTCTCGTGTCATTTTTTTTGCTCCAGTTCATTTAAAAGCAAGCATTGAAATTGCATTGCAGCAAACAAGCAAGCAAGTTAATGCAATTATTTGTTTGTATGGTGAGATATTGAACGATTAAGCACCGATATTTACAAATATGCCATCAAGAAACGTGTTGCCCTTGATCATTGGTCCGGAAAAGTGAGTAAATTCTTTAATATTTTCCTGTTTCAATTCATTGAAATTGAACGATTAAGTTGCAAGAACCAATTTCAATTACATCGCTCAAATGGTTGGCGCTTATTCATATCCATTAATCGCTTTGGTTGGCTCACATCGTATTCACAATTTATATGCAATACGGCATTTTGGTGTGCATATTTCAAACAATTTAAATAGCATATAGAACCAATTCTTGTTCCTGAGGCGGTTCTTAGGCTTCTTATCGCTAAGCTGACCAATGAATTTTTGTTCAGCTCGTGACAGAAGCACAACAGATTTGTCAATGACACACATTTTCACGCTTTTACATTCTAACGATTTGACCGGTTTGAAAAAGTACATAGTTTTGTACAAAAAATGTCATAAATTAAACGAAAGGAAAAGAATCTGACCAGAATCGAAACAAAAAAAAAATAATAATAACAAAGCCAATTGGAAAGGATATTTTTTATTGTTGCAACATTTAAATCTCCAAATTTATGTATCGTACTGTATGACAAATATTATTTCGACTCAATTTGTTCGAACATATATTTGCTGTGTAATAAATGTTCTTCTTTCTTTTTCATTCTCAGCCAATGTTTCATAGTAGAATTTTTTTTTCCTTATTACAATTATTTGCTTTTCACGCCTGGACAAAAACGAAAAGTGTTAAATCAAATTCAGCGAAGTTTTCCATTCACATTTTAAAGTGAAAAACAAAAAGAATCGGTTTCAGTTTGAAATTTTGACTGGTGCCGAACTATGAGTTTTCAATTTTAATTGAGTTGAAAACATTTTTTTTTCGATTTTGTTTTGTTCAAATTACACTTCTTTCAAATGTTTTGAAAATTGTTTTGATTTGTTTTATATTTTGGAATCACTAATTAGAAAAATAACATTGGACACCTTCGTTTCGCTCTGATTCATCGATATACGTATCAATAATCAAATATTTGAACTTTATTTAATACGTTTGCAATTTGGTTAAAATAAAATAACTACAAGTCATGCAACAGTCCATTTGTAAAGCCAAGCAATTCAACTGAAATTAATATGACTGTCAGTAGACATGTAAAACGTTGAAAAAAAATTCTTCCTGGATGTCAATAAAACGCAATATGAATCATTGTCACCTCATTTAACAGCCTTCATTTTACTTTATGACATCTTCGGTTGATGCTGCGCTCAACATAATGAGCTGAGCGGCAAAAGCCAATCAGTTGCATAATCAAAATGAACGCGATCCTGAGTGATGTACACTGTGTTCGTTAGATTTTTACTTCATAATGCTCACAGCTCATAAAAAAGATAAATGCGTTCATCTGATGAAAAATGGTCATTTCAGCTTTAGCGTAAGAGAATAAATTCACTGCCACCTGAATATATTATATAACTTCCCAGTGTGCATTTTAAAAACACAAATCAATTATCAGCGATTTCAGTATGTTTTTTTTCTGGTTGGTTTTATTTTTGAGCGCGGAGAAGTTGTCCTGCGCGCTCAAATCAGGAAAAGTGAATAGTTGATCGAAAAAAAGCGCGAGTAAAATGAGTAAAACTAGCTCAAAGCCAAGTGATTAAACGATATTGTTCCGCTGATATTGAATAAATGTGGAAAATCAAGCGAATTTATTGTAATTTTCCAGGTATTAGGCTGTTAAATATCAAATCTATTGCGCATACCCGTTTATGTAGCGCAATACTGCGATATTGTGCTAACTGGTTAATTATTATGATCTCATTAAGCATTTCAATATTGGTTAAGCTGTCGGTTTTGTGTGCAATTTATTCTGTTTTCTTTTTAATTGCTCGGGCTATTCGGCGATGTTTATATTATGCTCGTTGTTGTTGTTGTTCGTGGCACGTATTTCATCGAAGTTTTGATTGTATTTCTCTTTTCGGCGCACTCTGGCTCTCTCTCTCTCCCTATCTATCTCTTTCGCTCTTTTTTCCGATACGATTTGTTTTGTTTCTATTCAATTGGAATGGCATTTCAAATTTACTGAACGGTACTTTTTTAGCGAATGCGTCGACATGATCGTATTGTATTGTAAGTATGTTAACTAGCCAGCTTTAAGCTAATGAACAAAACTACTTAACTATACTTGAGCGATTAGTCCAACTTGATTTTTGGATCTTCTGTCGAAAAAAAAGATCACATTACTTCCTTTTACCAAAATACTTTTTTTCTCGCCACATTTTCTGTGCCATTTCGCTTAAAAACGCATTACGAATTAGTTCAGTTCTTTTTTTTGTTCAGTTTGAATCTGGTTTTGTGTAATTCAGACAATTTTCAATGTCATAATAACAGGAAAAGAAAAAGTGCGAGTAATTCGCTGCCAAATGAATTGCAAACGACCTCGAATCGAAAGAGAAATGAAATCAAAGCAGAACGAGACAAAAAGCATAAAGTTCATACCACATATATGTACACTGTATAAGACGCACTGTGTGCGACATGCGTGTCTAAATGTGATCGAACTGGGGTTGGTATTTAGAACCAATATTTTTCATAAAATTGTTGACAGCTAAAATACGTTCGCACCGCATGCCTCTTTGTAAGACACAGGTGACTTTGCAAATATGTACTGTGTACATTTATGAATAATTTATGATGTGTAATTGTACTCCCGAATATTGGCATGAATGCGTGGGAGGACGAAAAGATTGAAGATCAAATGTAGAAGATCATTTCAATGGTATCGATCAAGTCTTTTGTTCATTTAGACAACATTTCATGTGTTTAATAATGTCAATTGTTTGTTTTCCATTAGCGTTCATGGATTAGTATAATTGAAGAATAAATTTAAAATAAGAATTGTTCGAATTAATTTTTATTATTATTGAGACCTTCATTGTAAGAAAAAACATTGCCATCATATTAACGTAAAATATTGAATCATATGTTTTGTGCATTAGTTATTCGCAAACTCACAAACACCTACTCATGCGGCAGACACACAAGTTGTTGTTGTTATTTTTTCAATTCCCTTTGCAGATTCCACGTTTGAACATTTAAGAAGAATAATCTTAACATTTACAATACAACATGGACAAGGTGTTGCTTGTTGGAGCTGTCGTCTTCCTGATGTGTGCCTGTCACTTCAGTCGTTTCATATATGCTATAATTAAAATAACATGAAATAGTCAACGGGTATGATAAATGCAAAGTAGAGAATGAAAGTGGTCACGCTATCGGTTGAATTTGTACGGAACATGTTTGATATGGCTTCACAATGGAACGTGTTCGTATGCCGCATATTTATATCCTTTCTCTTCAAGTCCTTGAATTTAAATGTGTATCACTTTCAAATTGAATCATTTACACACATACATTATGTGAACTATTCGAAAAACTATAACTCAAGCTCAAGCTTGAACTCGAACTAAGGTACAATTATTCACGTAAAAATATGTACACGATAAAGAATGTGTTATTTTTTCCCTCTATCTCTACATTTTCGAATCGGCGATATTCTACTAATTGTTCTTTGTGTATTGCTTTGTGTCGCATTTGGCGAATGTATTTTTTCCCCTTCGACAATTGTTTCAAACACAATTCATTCGATCAATTTTGAAGTGTTGGAGTGCGTGCCAATAGACCGGCGGTCATTTGTAAAATGTATTTGTTTCGCCGCTCAGATTTATCGAAGTTTTTGATCGGCATGCAGTAATTGACGTTTACAGTCATCAATCGTCATTGGATATTCATTAAATACAGTCCATTCTTGCATCACAAAACACTACAATGCACAAAGAAAAGAAGAAAAGGGCGGGCGAGCGAGTGAGAGAGAGAAAGAATAAAAGAGAACGCGCCGAATTTGACAGCTTATTGCGCGAAAGTTTGCATTCGTATTTACGCCAAAAGTAAGACATGAAATTTTAGACGTTTTCAATTCGCGCTTGTGTTGCACCAGCAAAAACCATACATATCTGTCAACAATCGTTGTCGATTTGAAATAGAATAATTTTGATTCCGTTCATAAATTAAAACATTCAAAATGATTTCGTTGATTGGATAAATGATACGTCCATGATCAGTCATTTTTGATACCTTTTCATTCAAAGTATTTCCATATTTCACACAGGGTACCTCTAGGAACCAACTTGTTCTTTTTTACAAAAGAACCAAATCAATTTAAAAAACCCTCTTTTATTACGTTAGAAATTCGGATAGTCTTTTGAGATTTTCAAACAAATCACATCTTCTGTGAGCACCCACAAATCATACGACACCAAGCTATGATTAGGACCATTAGGCATATTGTAATCGATGATAAGTTAAGACATTCTGGCCGCTGCTATTCTCTCTGATCTCACTCCATAAATTCAATGGGCCGCCCTGTGCGACACCTTATAAATCAATTTCAAGATACAATATTGTCTTTCAATTTGTGTTCTTTCCTTTCACACAGCCATTCGGTACAGTGAATTTTTCGATCGACAACGAAAAGCGCTTTTGACTAATAGAAACGGTAATTTTATAAAAATTACCGTGATTTTGTGCCCGAATTGATTTGATTGAGCAACCAAATATGAAACGTGTGGGTACAATGGTCAGTTCTGTGGCAAATGCTTTTGTGCCGTGAAAGTCTATAATGTGTTGCTAAAAGTAATAATGCATTGGCTTAAGATCTGGTGTGTGTGTGTGCGCGAGTGTTTCCACTGCAAAGGTTTGGCAAAGAAAACTGGTTCGATATCGTGGTGCATACACAACATGTGGACATATGGTCTTGGCAATGTACGCGCACAAGCTCACTACTTAGCGCTCCGAGTGCTAAGTGCATTCATATTCGCATTGCGACTCAATTCAATTCGATCCGACTCAATTCAACTACCGACCTAATATACATTTGATACGATTTTATTTCTTTCGTTTTTTTTTAATTAAACAATACAAAATGTATTCTTATATTTGGCTTTGTCGACAAGAAAGTGACATATGGGAACAGTCATTACCTAAACATGTGTGTTATATATACATATCAAAATGAAGAAAAACAAATAACAATACAAAAAACGAAAAAAAAAACAACAACTATATAAAACCCATAACGAATGGTCGATTTTTCAACTGGATGATTAAAAGTGATACCATCCAAATTCATTTAGTTCATTGTGCACAATTTCAAATCTACGGGATCTGCGGACGAAATGAAAAAAAAAAAAAGAATTGTGCGCCTACAATTGCAAAAGAATGTTGGTGCGCGCTTGCACGAATATTCAATAAATAAAATATGCATACCCATGCATAAAAAGCAATGCTTGAAATCAAATTACATTGTCCGGCCGCACGGCAATCAATATTGAGCTTACCATTTTCTATGCTGTATATTTGTGTATATATTATTCTATTGCTCTCTTTTGCGTCGCCCTCTCTCTTTCTCTTTCTCTCCCTTGAATTCCATCTCTTTCGGCAATTCGTTCTCTCTATCTATCGCTCGCTCTTGCTCAATTTTCAATCTATTTCTCTTGTGCATTTCAACCAACGCAATTGCAATTGTTGCACATGAGCGGGGCACAAAAAACACCGTCAGTGGAACAAAAAATCGAATGGAAGCATTCAAATTATTTACAGTGCAACAAGAAAAATTAAAAACTAACAAAAATTTATATTGTGATATTAAAAAGAACTCTACATGCTACGAAATAGCCTCGTTAATTTTTATTGATATTTCTCTGTCGCAGCATTTTGGCTGTTCTTTTTTTTTTGGTTTGGTTTGGTTCCTTCACACCTCTGCTCGGTACGAGTTGTTTTGGTTCGAGCATTAGCGTGTAATGGGCAATGCATTGCCATACATTGTAATGATAGAAAGCCGCTTTTTTTTCCTCTTTAATTTGTCATACGTTTTGTTCCTGCAAGTAGCGAATTTATTGCACCAATATTTTGCATACGAAAGCGTACACATATAGTGTACACTATGAGCCTTAGATGAGGAAACAATTGTAGCATTTCGACAGGCTCTCTATTGAAATTCTTGTGAGCGATCAGGCGTAACCGTATATACGTGGCACACGGGCACACATAAGTACGTGGCTCATTCCAACGATCGGAATTTCTCCCAACCGAAATAGTGCCAATGAGTCAAACAAACACAAACCGAAATTTATATGATTACACATTGGAAACTGGAATTTTCAACGAATTTATGACTCGATTGGCATTGGTTTTAAGATAAAACGATAAATTGCGATGAATAATTCAAATGATACCAAATTTGTTCGCCATATAAAGTCAGCGCTTGAGTTTCATACTGGGTGCGAAAATTAAACACAGGTTGTTACACATTGTTGACTCAATTGATTGGGCTCTAGCAGGCATTGGCTACAACATTTATACGATCGATTTAAGTTGAAAGTGCATTGGAAAAGATTCTTGCTAACATTCATATCGAATGGTTAGTTTTCTTTATCGGAAAACAATTTTAACATTTTTATTGCTTAGAGAGGAATGTAAAATAATTAAAATAAAAACCAAACAACCATTGAGAACCTTGCATTTTCGAAAGTATAACAAAAGCTCAAATCATACATGAGAAACATTATCATATCGTAACATTCTTTAAGACAGAGTCCGAATATGTGGATTTTTTTGTTAAAGAATATAATAGGTTCGTTTACGATGCGCATATTTGTTGTTTTTACCCCCTCATAATTTGTACGTTCAGTGCTGCGATGTCTTTGTAGTCGAACGTATGCTGAGGCGAAAAAAACAAACCGGCACGGCACATCTTTAAGTCACGCACAAAACAAGAATGAAGAAAACTCCATTTGGTTTTTGTCCTGCAGAATTTTTATGTCGAACATTTTTCTCATCTTATTGTTCTGTTGTAATTTCGAAAAGATACTTATAGTTTCTTTTTTTGCCGCATTTGATTTTTCTTTTTCCTGGCTAAATCTGTAGAATTAAGAAAAAGACTTACAATTCTTTTACATAGGCCAACTTGTAAAAAAAATTCACTTTTGTTGTATATTGAAACGTTGAGGTCAATAGACTACAGTGTTCGTCAGTGATCATCATGTAACTTTAAAGAATAATATTGTGTTTTTTTTAGCAAAACTCTTAAAATTCAATTTGCAACTAGTTATAACGGAAAAAAAGTACTTTTCGTCTGATTTATGGTCAGTTGCTATTTAGTTATTGCTTTCCTTGAACGTCGCATTTTCTTCAAACGTTTTTTGTGGTCATCTATTATGCAATTTAATTTTCAATAAATTCATTCACTTGACGTTTTAATACATGACAAATTATTCAACGCTTAGACATATTTATGTCCCAAATAATCTGAGCTGCATGAAGATTCTTTGAAATGGAGAAAATTGAGATAACCAACATCAAATAGCCAATCATATAATTTGAAAAGATACTGCTTTTATCAAAAATGTATCAACATTTCGTATATACACATGTCTATAGAAATTAAGTCCATCCCATATAACTCATTTGCGGAGTAATTTTGTCGATGGCGGTACTGTGCGGAGTTCGGCGGTGATAGTATGCAAGCATTCTTTGCTGTTCATAGATTTAATCTGTCCAAACGAACATCTTAGTAGCCGTGACACACAGCAAAGTTACTAATCATCTGCGTAAGAATGATACACATAGAAGTGCTGTTATCCTCGTACACACAGAGTTTGTATGTCATCTCCGCCAAACTCCGCACAGTCCAGCCATCGTTAAAATTACTCCGCAAATGAATTATATGGGATGTTACATCTTATGCCTATGAAATCATATTTATATCGTTGTACTGTTTTTGTAAAGTAAGTAAATTAAATATTATTATTATTTTTTCCCTATATGGGAACGGTGCTCATTAACGAGTATTTTTTTAGACAAGAGAGTATTTGGAAAAAGCTAAAAAAAGGATCAGAAATAAAATTACGGAGTTTTCGGTGAAAATAGTGCAATAATAATATTTCTGAAAAAAAAAAAAAAAAACAAATCATTTAATTTCAAATTAAGTACACAATTTTACTCTGGAAAAAGTTTATTATACAATTAATTTTAAAATAAAATATTAGCAATGTAATTTCTAATTATAATTTTCAATGTAATGTCTATGCCTAACTCAAATTTGGTTTAATTGCTTATTTTATCTTCGACATCAGAATTGTCAATTAATTGTGACATTCTATTCAATTTTGATTCTTACATAAAGGAACAGTTCCACAGTTTTTTTGAAGTCTACACATTTGAAAGATTTTTTTTTTCCTTTTCTAGAACCAAATTTCCGCCCAGCTGAATTCAAACATTTTATTGGCGAACATAAAAATACATTTTTTTGAAGGAGCTGTACTTTTCTTATGATTATCTTAAATCATTTTTCTGTTCACAATTTTTTTAACTCATATTTTCAAGTATGTTCAAAAAATCTTGGGTTTTATCATTTATAATAAGATTTTTTTATGAAAAAAAAAATAATTAAAAAAAAAAAAATAATCCATGGAAAAAATGATAATACTTTTTTTTAAACATAACTTAAAAACAATATTTAAAAACAATTATCAATGAAACCGATTTAATTTACTTCAAGTGCGAATGTTGTTTTATAATGTGTATTATTTCAGCGCCAAAACCGAACAGGAACTAAATAAAGCGTAAATGAAAATTAATTAAAAAAATATTGTTTTAAAATTTGAGTGAAGAGAGAGCAAAACACAGCATTTTTAGGATATTTATTCAATCTTTATGTGGCAATGAATTTTTATTTTGAAGTGCTTGCTTTTTGTTGTTGTTTCGTAGAACTGGCATAGGTTTCGTTTATTTTTATTTTATTTTTTATTTTCAAGTCCAATGAAATGTTTTCCTTAAATTATTAAATTATTTAGCACAGCACGTCCGTTTAGATGGTAAATTGCAAATTGTATGGCCAGCTTTTGGCTGCTGAACGATAAACTCGGATCTAAATAGATAGATGTTACATGTGCTCTCTGTATTTATTACAATACTACTATTACTGTCAATCTCGTAAATGTCTCATTGCATACAATATGTATGAAATATTATTGGCTATGTTCAATGTTAAAAAACGGACAACAATGAAAATTAATTTCTCGTTGAAGTATAAAGTTGTTGGATTTTTCTTTGTCATACTGATAAATTGATACCTTTTGATTTTTCTCATGCGATTTATTTTTATTGCAGATCCCGTTAATATTTCCATATATATCTTCTTTTTTTTGACAACTTTCTTTCATTTTGTTTTTAGCTACTTAAGTTTAGGTTGTAAATTAGATTGCAATTTTATGTACATGATTAGCATTAATACGAGCATTCTGGTTTCCAGCACCGCCATTGTGATTTCCGATAATTGGTGATATGGAATTTTTCACTTTTCGTGCATTACGTTTGCCGATTCCATTTTTTGTATTCATTTGACGTGCTTGATCAATTAATCTCTGTGGCACTGTCCACAATTGATCTGCACGCGTGATCATAATGTCGGCAAGTTTGCAACATTGTGCAGCCATTCGAACCTGCGCTGCGATGTCATTTTTATCAGCCGGATGAATGTATCTAAAGTGGCGTGAATCAAAAGATAAAATTATGCTTCGAACAATAGGAAAAATGTTTTAAACTGGTTTTACCTTGGCGAAAATAATGATGGAGCAATGATTGTGGCGACATTGTGTTTGGACATTTTATTGTATTGTTGATTATCGATCACACATTTTAAAAATTCCAGGAATGCACGCAATGTGTTTCGATTTTCATGCGGTAATAGAAGACACAATATGGACATTGCTTTGCACTGATCGGGCACCGGAATGTCTATCGAAGATTTAAACGAAAAAAATCAATCGAGTTTAGCATTCAATTAAATTTTTAATAAATTTATCCTGTGCCACAGAAAAGAATGTTTCACACAAACCTGCTGTTTGATAGAATAGATGCACCAAATCATTTGCAAGTAATGGTGTTGGCAATTCGCGTAACCATCGTTTTAATAAAGCACTTAAATCGTGAACGCCAGCCTTTTTCAAGATGCCACTGACTTTTTCATGTTTCGAATAAAAATTTTGTTCGAGCTCATTGTAAAGCATTTCGGTTTTCTGTTTATTGCCAGCAACACGCAAAATACCTTCTTCTCGTGCGCCTCGACTGCGTAAATTATCTGTAATTCAAACCGAATAAAAAAGAAATATTATCAAAAATGATCATCACCGTTCAGCGGAAGATCGGAATAAAAGCAAAAATAAATTACCGAGAATTCCTTGCAGGAGAAGTGGAACCAATGTTGAATCCTCACCAGTAACTTGTTGATCACGTCGGATCAGCGCATTCAACGAAACACCAAACACATTACCTTCCTCCTTTCGTTTTCTTTTGAATGGTTTACGTTTATCGAAGGCAACATTGTGACGATCAAAAATGGTGGCCAATTCAAGCCAAAGTAATGGCTGCAACTTTTTCAATTCGGTTTCATTTAATTGATCGATATCACAACCGCCTTCATTGTATTCGGGTTCACACCAGTCCGTTTGATCGATGCTATTATCACGGCATAAATTCTCAAAACTAACTGGCTCGGAACGATTACGAATGCTACTTCTCACTGGTTCTGGACTAGAGTTATGCATATGATGATGACATGGTGTTGATGTGGCATTGCTGCCTAACAAACTATGACGCAATGGTGAATTGGATGGGCTATGCTCTGGTGTTGATGGTTGCGATGATGATGATGTATTATCGGGTGAATTGCTGTTGTACAAATTATTGTGACTCCGTGAATTCGACATATGGGTTGATCGACGTCCAAGTGAACATGATGGATCTGAACCGGATCGAATTCGTGGCAAATGTATTGTACCAAGACGTTGAAAACCTAATAGCTCAATACCATCGGCCGTATAAAATGGTATGTCACATCGAATATGTGATCCTCGGAACAAATCAGCACTCACGCGTAATGGTTCACTTGGTGTTCGGCGCAAATTCTGTTTGATTCGAGCATTTGTAATGGCTGCCGTTGGATTGTCAAATATTGAGACAAAACTTGGTCTACAATGGGAAATAAAATGACATAAAATCAATTTATTTGATGTTTACATTTAAAAAAATGGAAAACATTCGTTCAACAATACATACATTTGATGAGTATTCCAGTGATCGGTGTCTGCTGGTAAAGAGTCCAATGAGTCAGGTGTCGCGCTGCGCGATCGTGTTCCAGTACTTGATGTGTCTACATCGCGGAACACATCACGAATATCGGGCTTTCGAGAATGACGTGATCGGGTACGTCCACGAACTGTACGATTAAGAGCCTTCACTCGTTGCTTAACTGCCTCAGCATGTGATCTCGGTAAACCAGCAATGCTTGATTTTAATTCACTCGTTGGTAGCTCTCGCCCCTGAAAATATTTTAATCAAAATCATTACAAATTAAACAAACACTTTCCGTGAATAAATCATAATTTTCCCAATAAAATTATGATCAAACAATAGAAAACAAAACTGGTGCATATTTCTTCTGCTATTGCAATGCTAAATGATTTTAAAAACAATGCTAAATTTTTAACCAAATCAAAATAGCAATGGCATTCTATTTAGTTGGCTGTGCCCTCGACACACTTGACACAATGGAAAAATGATTGGCCTGTATCGGTGACCAAACATGAAATCAAATAGCATTAAAACAACAGATTGAAATAGACAATGAAATATTCGACAAAGAAAAACAATAAAAAAAAACAAATACCTCCTGAAAAGCCTTCGTTAATTGAGGAAAGCCTGCAGCAACTAACCATTCAGCTTCCAATTCGCCATCTACAAATGAATGAAATAGAGAGAAAAAAAAAAACAAAACAAATCAAACTATTGGTCACGGTACAACAAATAATTGATTTTCGAAACTCAATGAATTTTGAAAATTCAGGTTCATCCAATCAAACGGTGTCGCCTGCCTCAACCAAAAGAAGAGTGTCAAAGGTGATCTGGCGCAATTCACTCAAAAACCAAAAAAATAGAAACTGAAAAATACACGACGATGATGTTACTACACGTTTTTGGCGGCAAGAAAAATTACTCAAGGCAAATAGCAAATGCAACCGTAAGTTCCGCTTTAAAATCTAATGGCCTGATATTATCGCACACAAAAAATTGAATTGAATGAAAATAAAACAACAACAACAACATTTCGAAATGAACGAAAGTGACGCTCGAATGCGTCTATTGTGTGCAGTTCACAGAACATGTGTGTGTGTGTGTTGAACCAACTCAACCGCGATGATAAATTATATCAAAACGTTTACCAAATACTTGCTTGCTATGTTTATATTCCGCTATTTCAGTAATTGATTCAAGCGGATTGACTTCAATTCAATAAACACTTGCACAAAGCAAAGCTGACCAAATGAGGAAAAAAACACAAATCAAATTATGTGAACAAAAGAAACGAAAGGCCACTAGCGCAATTGTTACACGCGCTGATTGAACATTAGTTAATATATTCAATAGAAATACACTTCAAAGAGAAAAAAAATGCTCACAAACTCCAGGTGAAATGAAATTAGTGGTTTTTCGCACAACTTTTTGCGCCAAGTAGTGTTTTTTTATCTCTTTCGTCTGTTTCGGTGTTGCAATAATGATCTCTTTTTCTAAATACAATTTGATGTATTTCAAAAAGGTAGAAGCAATGATTTATCTATCCAGACAACGGTAGCCGAAATTATTTATGAGTTTTAAATTCGAAAATGCAGCCCAATTTCGCGCTTACGAAAAATTGCAATTTATATCCATATCTATATCTAATATCGTTGCACCATTTATTGACACATTGTTGGTTGCACGTTTGTAAATTGATTGTTTATGTTTGCACAAAATCTGGGTTAATTTACCAACATTTAGTTTTGATTTTATTTATTTTACATCGAAAGATTGTGAGCGCAAATGGTGCTAAATAACATTTATACTAATTGATTGAGCGACATGTAATTGAGTATTTTGAAAACAAATAAAAAAAGATCCAATTAAAGCATATAGAATATGGAATAAATATCTCGCGAGTGAACGCGTGCGATAACATGAAAGTGGCCCCGAAGAACAAAATGAATGAATCATTAAGAATATCAATGTACTTTAAAATATGTAAACAAGTGATTGTGATTACACATTGGTTGTGACAATATAATGTTACACTCACTCGTACACATTATAAAGTGATAATTACGAGTAAATATGCGAACAAATTAATGTCATGCAACTTGAGATTGGTTTTGTTTACAAATAAAACTGGCCTTCACTATATAATATATATATATATATCCATTTTCCATGCTCATCATATAAACACTTAATTTATTAAGCTTTAGCCGGTTGAAGGATGTATTTCGTTTGAATGGCAGATAATGTCGCGCAATTTGGTTGGTAAACAGTGCGACCGAATGACCGATTCAAAGAATGTGCATAACACTCTCTCTATCACACAATCACACTCATACACAAATCATATGTAAATTATACCTTCATAATGGCTGATCGGTTCTGCTGGCGCCTGTAGCCGATACTCCGTTAAATATTCATCCAAATCGGGATCCAACATAATTGCTTAATTTATGGTCGCTACTTCTTCAAAGTCTTTGGAATTGGCCGGGATTGTAAGTGTTGAAAGTTTTAATGATTTATATAAATGTATATATATATATGTACACACGCACACACGTTCCAACGTTTCACTCGATACGGAGAATCGCGTTTTGGTGCGGGAATATATTTAGCTTGTTGTCGATTTTCAAGAACTGCTGTTAGTTCTGCACTCAACTGGTTACGAAGACATATTCACAATCAGTTTGCTTTGTTTGCCTTGCTCTTTTGTGTCCGTGCCTCACTTAATTAAACGCATTCATTTCACCGTGAATCTGCAAATGAGTAGAGAAGATAAGAGTAGAAAAATTAAAATGAGAAACACTAAACCGATCAGTCTAATTCAATAAGTAGGTTAAATGTGTTGGGTACTTTAATCTCAAACATAACAAAATGATTTCCAATTAAATGTAAATTCTGGTATGTTTACAGATCATCGTCTAATTAATTCGAAAGACTCACATCACAAACTGGATTGAAAGAAAGATAGATAGACAGAGAGAGCGCGCGCACGCGAGAAAACCTTCGAATTGACAATCAATTCAAGGTGTCTTAAGAAACTAAATCAAAACCAGAAACAAAAAGAAAAAGGTAAACATCGACGCTGTAAAGTTCATAAATATTATGAGTCATTTCAGTGAATCGTCAAGTGAGCGAGAGTGAATGGCTTCGCGCATGTTACAATGCACACGTGATCGTGATCTATGCGACTTAATATGATTTCATTTTTTTCTTTCGTATTGTATGTTCATGACTAACTAGTCCATAAATGTGCGTTTATTTCTATCGCGGCCACGATAACTCACAAAATAGATTCACATTTATTTTGAGGTTACAACCATTCATTGAAATTCCGATTATTCATTCTACAAATGGTGTATGCATGAAATGGTGCAAAAAAATTGTGGATGTAAATTAATAAGAAACTGTGCCTCAGATAAGAAATCGCACAGCAGGTTCAATGTTGCCGCTGAAGATGTTGACGAGGTTGTTGTTGTTGTTTTTTTTTTCGTCGAGGAAATTATATGTACTTTAAATAAGTTTTTGGGGCCAGCTTCAAGTAGTTTCTTGATAGAATCGAAATAAATACATGTATCTCAGTGGTAGCAAGAGCGAGAAAGAGAGAAAAAAAGTGCTGGTATTTTTTATAATGGAGAAAGCTGCGTGTGGAACCACGTTTGCAATTATGTATTCATGAAGCATTTACCATCTCGCCCATTTCAACTTACAATAATGTACATTTTAAAGTGTGTGTGCCGATTAAGGCGACTAATGCCCGGTCTGACACATTGCGAAATAAATTTTGGGAAATAAAAATACTTATTTCGTTCGTTATCTCGTGTCACAGATGTTTTAAGGTTAATTAGGTGAAAACAAAAATAATCTGTTCACGCAAATCCTCATTGTTTCAATCGGTTTTTTCTCTTTTCATTTTGATAACGATGCAGTGGACAATCAATATTCACTACATACTCTGTTGCTCCCCCTTGTGCAAGTGATCACATCATTTTCAAAGAGGTCCACAAATTCAATGCACACAATGCTTTAATTTAATGTATCTTTTGAATTGGCAGTAAGAGTAAACGAAACAAATCCCGTTGTGCACATGTGCAATGTAGTTTTTAAAGCTTGCACTTGTGCATAATATCAATCACCTCTATTGTTAATTGGCCATAGGAATTTTCTTACACATACGAGAATGTAACCGGTCTGAGATGTAGTTTTGTCTTTCATTTCATTAAAAATGACCAAGAGAAATTCAATGAAAACTAAATGTTAACGAACAAAAAAAAAAGAAACCAAAAACAAACGAACAAAAACAACGTTGACTCACAAAAAGATTTATCTATCGATATTGGCTCACGCGCAAAATATTCCACTTTATTCAGAGTTAATAAATATGTATGAATGCTAAGCAGATCGAGAGAGGTATTTTTGTTTTGTTTCATTTCAATTTTCCTCTCAAAATGTGTGTATAGTGTTTAAAAGTCGATGTATTAGACGTTATAATCATGTGAGCATTGTTATTGTAAATCGTGTTCACTATAGAACAAACACGAAATGCATAAACGTAACTGAAATTGTACGTGTGCTTCTAGCTTCCGTACTAAATGAAATGCATATCGGCATGTTGCTATTCACATGCTGCGAATTAACCAAAGAAGGTGCAGAATAAAAAAAAATATTTATAAAACGGAATATTTGGTTTAACATACACACATATTCCGGATTGGATTGGGTAGACAATAACCGCATGCTGAACGCGTGATATTCGAACCGATCAAACGCAAAGAAAAATGGCAACAGCGATATGAGCGAGTGGAATGCGGTAAAGAATATTACACAGCAAGGTCATCCATGCATGAATTTCTTACATATTTTTGCCTTTTTTTTCACTGCATTTCGAGCGTTCATTTCATTGCCGTTTCTCATTAAAGCACATGTGCAGTGTGTAAGTGTCGCTTAATGGTGTAAAATCACTGCAATCGAATGTTTTGATATCAACGACACACAAAATACAATAAAATTCATCAATGTCCAAAATGAACAGCAGTAATGATTTGTCAAAAATGCAGTTATACTTTTTATGTTTATCTTCTATCTTGCGCGCACACTAGTTTTAACCATGAATGCCATGCATGCATTTATATTTCCCATCAGAGATAAAAACCAACAAATTGAAATGTGTCGATCAGAATAAAAGATAAGAAAACCGAGTGGTAGAACGACCGAAATTTATCACCTAGTTTTGAATATAAATTTGGTTGTTCGATGGATAATCCAGCGTGAATTGGGCGCGTGCGCCACAGAGTAAAGAAATACAAGTTTGGCACTCAAACTTGATACGAAAATTCCTACCAAATAAATTAGTTTAGAAATTAATGGATTATTCGTCAAATGGTTTTTTTACTATTCCACTTCTGTCTTTGAATTTCGACGTATAATAAATACGTATAAAATACCAAATGATAATACTTCGAATAAATGGCAAAGATGACTCGTTTCAAATCAATATTAGTACGTCAGGCGCATTTTTTTTCTCTATTATGATTACAAAGAAACAAAACACAAACATCATTGTTTATGCTACGATCGGAATTTCCGAAAAAAAAAACTGTTGCTGACATAATTTTATAATTTTGTTTGGTATTCAATGGGAGAAAAAAAAAGAATTCGCAAAAATTCCGTCAAAATTGTTTTTTTTTTCTTTTGAATTTTTGCGGACCCAATGTTATGGCTATGGATTGATCTAAGCCGCGTTGGTTTAATCTATCGATCTTTCTTTCTTTCTTTTTCATCATTATGGAACGCATCCACTTGGCATGGTACATGTGAAAATTAGTGGCGAGGTGGAAAAAAAAAGAGAGAGAGAGAGAGAAGAATGGCACAAGAGAGAAATAATGAGAAGAGCGCAACAGTTGCCAACTGTTATGTTTACTTATTTGCAGAGCGTTCGCATCGTATTTACATTCTTACGATGTTGACGCGTTACGACTTCTAAAATGCGCAGAAAACAAACGTAAACATAGTGAGAAAGAGAAGAAAAAAAAGTAAACAAAATTAAAATTTACACGCGTGCAAAATGATATACGGTAAAGAATAACACGCTACGCGATAAAAAGCAAGAGAGCAAAAGTTCTAATACGACAGTAAAATGGTCGCACCTACCTAATAGTTTTGTTTGTTTTTCATATGAACATGCGAGAAGAAAAAAAAGAAACACTATAGAGAGCCGAGCGTGAGAGTGAGAGAGAGAGAGAGAGAGAAACCGAACGCGACTGCGAAAAGGCTGTCTATAATCAATGTTCATATTTACTAAATTCATCCAATTATTTATTGTTGTGGCAGCGACCATCTACTAAACACTTTATATTAATAAGTTGAAATTTGAGCTAGAACATGATTGTCGATATGCAAACAAAAATGCTTCATAAGACAAGAATTGAAAAACACACACAAACATGACAAAAATTGCGACTGATGAATAAGAAAAAAAAAACACAACAAAAAATGTTTGTGGATTCATAAGATTCGTTTTGCGTAGATAATTTACAACAACTTTGACGACATTTTTCAATATTTCCCGCTTTATTAGCTCATATATCTTGTTTTTTTTGTGTGTTTAAGTGCATATATGTGTGTATGTGTTTTTTTTCTACATTGGAATCGAAAAATAAAAATTTATTAAAATTCCAATGGAAAACATAGCTGTATATCAAATCTCGATAATGAGCAAATAGAAAAAAATAATTGAATAAAATTCTTAAGTGTTTGTGTTTGAATCATATGTGAGAACAAATTAAAATAGCTACGAACGAGGAAGTGATCACACTGGAATTTTTACGTTTGAAATTTCCCACCACATATACACGGGAAGAGAGAGAGAGATCATACGATCAAGCAAGCGAAATTCAAACCGACTAATAATTATTTTCAATTATTATTTAAATGAAATGCAATAAATAACATCAAACATATTGTATTATAAATATATTGAGGTGATACCATACTGCCAAATGACCAGTGGTAATGACTTTTTGAGTGTTTATTGAAGAAAAAAATGCGGTTGATCATTTTGCTGTCGTGTTCGTTGCTTTCATTCAAAATATAAGCGCTTTAAAATCATTTCCAAAACGTTTTTTTTTTGTAAATAAATCGCAACGCTCTCTGTGTTGCATATTATGTGTGAAAGTCCATGTAAGAATAGAAATTGTTGTGAGCAAAGCAAAAAAAAACCCTCGATTCGAGAGGTTGGTTGTGTGATTAAATTCAATTACGTGCTGTTCCGTTTTTTTTTTGTGTGTTATTGCCCTAGTGGTTATTTGTTTGTGGTGCTGGCTTTCATCTCGATACTTCATTATTATATATTCAAAGCATATTTTATATTTCTTCAATTTTCCAATTAGGCTTTGGAATGAATGGATGGATCTTGTTCGCCATTGTTATAACGCTTCCAGGCGATTGCCGATCTCACTATCTCGGACATCGAATTTGTGACCTTTGTATGAAATTAATTCTATGCATTTCTGAAGTAGGATTTTCCATCGTCAACGATAGACATGACATTAACATTGAAATAATTGCTGAGCACAGCCACATTTATTCTTTTACTGACTCGACTTTGTGTGTTTTTCTTTTTTTGCTTTTCATTTCCCTCTTCTGGTTGTGGCTTCCATAACATGTGTGTACGGCGATGATTCCAAGCCAACCGAACATTGTTTGTTATCTCGGTAGAAGATTGTGAGCATTGAGTTTTAAGAAATGTGAATTCTAC